AGATTGGAAAGCAATTACGGAAAGAATTCTTTCAATAAGATTGAAAGGTGTAAATAAGCTACAAATGTCGATAATAATAGTTTATGGACCCCTAGAGATGATGAAAAGGTCGAAAGCAAAGATGAAATCTGAAATGAGGTAAATGAAGTAATCGAGGACATTAAGGGAAATAAATACATAGTGGAGGATTTTAACGGTAGGTAGGGTAACGAGGTTTAACAGTAGATAAAGACGTTGCAGAACAAGCATAACCTGTTTAATCTCCACAAGAAAATCAAAGAACTCAAACACAAAACATAAACAATATCGGAAAACTCTCTTCAATGACGCAAGGCTCGAGCGACCACCTCGAGGTGATGATCGTAATGAGCATAGTCCATAATAAAAGTTCAGAAAAACGACAAAGTTGTAGGACCGGGCCAGATACACTCTGAAACCTTGAAACTGATAGCTCATACGAATGCTAATAGTTTGGAAACTCTTCACCGCTCTGTTCGACTCGATACACAAGCCTGGTAAGATACCAGTGGACTCGCTGAAATTGACATTTGTCAAAGAAAACCGAACGCTTCCCATTGGGACGACTAACGCATGATCAGTCTGATGTTCTTAAAATATTTCTGCGCATCATTCACACTCGTATATATGCAAAATGTGAGAGACAGGTTGACAACACGCAGTTTGCTAAATGGGAAGCTTGCTAAAATTCTCAAATCCTCCGGTACTGATAAAGGCGACCTGAAGAACACAACATCTGATGAAATAGAATTCCTTAGAGGTGTAAGACAGGTGCGTTCTGTCTCCTTTCCTTTTTAATTCGGAAGCGATATTCCAAGATGCACTAGTGAATGCTGAGGAAGGAATTAAGATCAATGAAATCCCCTAAAAACCACATACATATTTCACATCTCCAAAACATAGTAAATTTCATCGCAATACGCAGTGCATAATACGGCTTACATACGAGTACTGCTGATCGTGTTCTCAAAAAAAAGGCAAACCTGCAAATTTACGGCGAGAAAATAGAACAAGTGTCGTCCGTGAAGTATCTCGGAGCTCGTGTGATTGAAATAAGTGATCCCTGACAAGAAATCTTGTCACGAATCGAGCAGGCCAAAAGGATGTTTATCTCTATGAAGATCTCTCTTCGCAAATCGTAACCTAAGCCTAAAGCTCCGTGTGCGTCTGCTGCGTTATTATGTATTTCCCGTTCATCTCTTTGGATCCCAGAGCTGGATACTCAGTCAATAGTTAGAGAGTCGCATCAATGCCCTTGACATATACAGGGTGTTTCATAATATATGCGCAGGACTTCAGGCTGTGATAGCTTGTCCAAAAATTTGGGAGATCGCGGTGGCCAAGGGTGCGGACCTCCTCGACCGATCCAACCGTCTGGTTATTCGCCATTCTGGGTAGTATTGGCGAGCAACCAAACTAAAGTGGGCCGAAGCTCCATCACGCATAAAGTACATGTTTTGTCTTACTTGAAGCGGTACATCTTCCAGCAGATCCGGCAGTACTTCTTCTAGAAATTGTCGATAATCTGCACCGTTTAATCTGTTCGGTAAAAAATGTGGACCTATCAAATAATCACAGACAATGGCAGCCCAAACATTTATGGAAAATTGTTGCTGATGATGGCCTTCTGCAATTTCATGTGGATTTTCTTCTGCCTATATGTGGTTATTGTGAAAATTGAAAATACCATCCTTCGAGAAAGATTCTTCATCGGTAAACAGAACTTCCGCTCCAAACTCAGGATTTTGAGCTATATTGTCTTGCATCCATGTGCAAAAAGCTAATCTTGCGGAATATCTCTTGGCAATAAGGCTTGTACTCTTTGCATATGGTAGGGATACAAAAGTTGCCTTTTGAAAATTCTTCAAACCGTTGAGTGAGATAAGTTTAAATTGTGAGCAATTTTTCTGGTACTTGTGGTCGGATTTTCATCAATTTCGTTGAGGACAGCCTCTTCTACTTGGGGATTTGCAACTTCCATAGGCCGCCCATTGTCAGCAGTATTCCTTTTAAAACTTCCATTTTCCCATAGTCGTTGGTAAATGCGTAGAAACAAGTTATGGTCGATCAGGATATCTTTCTTGATACAACCGCCTTGCTGCTGCGGAATTACCGCACGCCATTTCGTAAAGGTAATGCATTTCGCACATTTCAGCGTTTGTGTAATTCATTTTTAATTTTGTAATACAAGTTTACTTTTTGCAGGCTACAATTTAAAGCCAACTTGTTAAAAATAAATTATACAAATTACAAAATATAGAATTTTGAAAAAACAACTTTTGTATGATTTTTTCACTTTTTTATTTTGCAATTATGAAGTTAACGTTTGTTTTTGTTACTTGTTCTAACCTTTTAGTAAAATAAAATTTTTATTCAAAAAAATTGACCATGTTTTTCAACATAAAAGTTGATTTTTCTAGAAAACGGTCAACTTTAGAGCTCATGACCTACAGTACCTTTTTTGTGTAGAAAACATGGGCGGTTCAAATGGGCGTCTCAAAACCGTGCCTTTTCCAGTGGCGTAGAAGTTGGCGAGAAAAACAACCACTACCCCTTCAACATCTTCACCAATTCTGACTTTAAAAAAATTTTTCTCGCACAAAACTTAGCTTATTATGAGTAGAAAATGCTTACAAACGCTGTTTTCTGTACGATAAACGATTCCGGAGATATTCCCAAAAAAAAAATTCTTTTTTATTAAATTTCAACACCCTGTCTCTCAAAAATGGTGCATTTTATAAGGTAAGTTGAAAACCTTTTTTCAAATTTTTGGACAAGCTATCACATAACGCACCATTATAGGCAGTTGGATCACCAACCTTTGTAGGATGACAGCGGGAAAACCTTTGTAGTCTATGAAACTAAAAATTACTAGATTAACTTTAATAAGTGGCAATGCTAAGCATAAGTGGAAACATTTCAAGTCATAGAAATAACAACGTGAAACAGACGTAAATAAAACAAAGTGTCAAAAATAAAATACTGGCTTGGAAAAATTGCTTAACGAAGAGTTATGATGATTATAAGTGCAAAATGAAGAAGTTACAAGAAATGATGATGGAGACAAAGGGATGACATTGAGTAGACTTCGGAGAAAGAATGGAACGAAAACATTTCATGGAACTGCTATATGTAAGTGGACAAGAATATAGAAAAAATGAGCCACAGGAAGGTGAAGAGACAGAAATAAACAGATAACGATGGAGGAATTAGAAGGGGTAATAAAGGAATTAAAAAATGGAAAAACTGCTGGTAAAGATAGATTAACGACAGAAAACAACAGTTCATTTGCATATATACTAAAACAAGCATGGTAAGAAGAAACTTTTCCAAAAGATTGGTAAATTGCACTTTTAGTACCAAAATCTAAAAAGGAAATAAAAAAACTGTAAGTAATGATTATAGAGGTATAATACTTCTAAATGTTGCCGTGAAATTTTTAGAACAGATGATAGAAAAATAAAACCCGCAGTAGAATAGATACTAGATGAAACACAACGCAGTTTTAGAAAGGGCAGAGGTATCCAGAACCGAAACCAAAAAAATGGAAAAGTGTATCTAGGTTTCATTGATTTAGAAAAAGCGTTTGAAAATGGTGTAGAGAGAGAAACCATGGGGAATATTACATCTTTAACTCTAATATCTTCGAATGTTCTATCACATGCCCCTAATAAAACGTTTATGCTGAAAGGAAAGATAGTTTTGCCTGCAGCGCCACTTTTACTCGATATAATGGACTTCGTTAGAACGGACTTCGGATTGTCGGAATATCCCGAAAAATCCAAGTCGGGTTATTCCTTAAGTTGGTCTATTCCATGTTCATAGATAAACTGGGAGTATTCCCCGAGTTGTCTATACGATATATAAATCAAGGCTAGATTGTTGTATATTTTTATTGAACGAAAAGTAGAAGTAACGCTAGACCTAGAACTAAAAACATTCTGGTTTACCCGTACGTCTCTTACGACGGCTAAACCCGAGTTTAAAGAGACCTACGACTAAACCCGAATGTTTCTAGTTCCTATATCTAGTGTTAGTGTTTATGCATGACGTCCCGAACGGTCCTTCAAACTGTGCACTTATTCTCGGGATGTAGCAGTCCTTTTCGATTCTGTCGTCTTTGGTATAAATACTTTTACTGACTGGCTCTGAATGGGTATATCTATAAGATAACTGAAGTCATTTACGTACTCCAACAACAACTTCTTACAAAACTAAAATATCTCATCCCATTCCAAAAAACCTTGGCCTGGGAGTTTTAAGTGAAACACCCTGTATAAAAAGATATACTATATAACCTAGTCGATCCAGCAACGTACATTAACATTACAGCATATACAATGCTAAAGACAGAGGAATATATAGATTATATAGTCTTCGATTGAAAATATGAAGTGTAAAATGAATACAAAACTTAAGAATCATGGCATTTTCATTTTTAACTATCATTCTTAATCTTTTCAAAAGAAAATAATTGCTCTTGATTGAGGTGAACCATACTATAAAAATAATGCTTCTGACATTAACGGCATCTGCAAGAAATGCAAGAAAATTAGTTAAATTAAATTACAGTCGCTGAAAGTGAGTAAACCCGAGAAAATGAAAAGCATTTCGCCTTTGTTAGCGAAACACATTCGCATTGGAAGATTGCCGAATATTTCATGAGAAATGTTTGATATTGCAATCTTGTATTATTCTGAAAAGAATAGAATGGAAGTTTAGTTTTATTTAAAATAATTAAATATTTTATTTATATTTTACATAATAACGTTTTAAATGTTAAAACGACTATAATGTTTATAAATAAATAAAGAAAGATTAATTACCGGAAATTAAATCATAAAAAGGTTACCCAACCTTGAACAAATCCTACGCTTCTACAGATACATTTAATAGTTAGATAAAAAAGTTAATCAAAAAAAAAAACAAATAATAAAACAGGAAATAGAAACATATCTTTTCTTTCTACGACCTCTCATAGTTTAATATCAGTTTTAAAATGCATTTCATTCTATTCATTTCGGTATTTTCAATTAATTTTGACCAAATCAGTTCCATAATTTATAAAGAAAACATTACAGGTATACCTATAAATAATTTATTTCCATTTCCTACTTTGATTAACTTTCTTTTTAAGATTTCTCAAAATGTAAAACACATTTTTCATCATCCCAAGGGGAATACACCGATTTCTTCCAAATAATTAACCGAGAATCAAATTCAACCCAAGATTTAATCGTTGATTTTCATTTTTCTGTTTTGGCCCAAAGCGACGCTCACATTTTATTAACACCATCAAAACGCATCAACAATAAAGACCCTGTTTATGAAATTGTTTTGGGAGCCGGAAGAAACTCGTATTCATCGATTAGAAGAGCGCTTCGAACTCAAATTAAGTCTACGATACGCCATAAAACAAAATTATTATCGTTTTATGAACCTCAATCGTTTTGGTTACACGTTTCTCGAAATGGTTTAATTGAAATCGGCAGAGAAACACAATATTTACCATTTTTAACGTGGATAGATCCGGACCCGATTCCTTTAGAATATTTTAGTTTGAGTACATGGCCCGGCATTGAAGCAAAATGGTTTTATGATTGTTACAAGATTGATGTTAAGGTTTGTTTTTGTGATTATTTAGATATTTTCTAAGTACAGTAAAAATTAGAGCTAGAACTAGTATTAGAACTAACTAGAAAGAAGACCTAGAACTAGAAAGTTTCTAGTTCTAGGTCTAATGTTAATTCTAGTTTTAGTTAAATGGAAAAAATACTATATTAAAAAATGTATTACTAATTATAGGAAGTCGGAAAGGTTTTGAGCAATAGAGAAAGATTGCTTGAAGATTATTTAAAAAATTATTCCATTTTTGATGTCCCCATTTTTGAAAGAGATAAAAAAATTGATGTGTTTCTAAATTTAAAACCCGTCTTTATGAGTTTGGTTTGAATAAAATTACCACAACAATCCAAAAAAAAATTAATTAATTTATTTTTAGAATGAACCCGAACGGAAATTGGAATCAAGATTTATTTTAACCCAGGTAAAAAGCCATAAAATTATTTTTATTGTTTCTAAAATATTTTCTAGAAATGGATTGATTCAAAATTACAGTGGAATTCAACAAATTACGGAAACATTCAATCGATTCAACCTCACATTTATCAAATTTGGACACCAAACACAAGATTTTTTTCGTAAAAACTAACATTTCTCAAATTATTACCATATATCTTACTTTGGTTGTAGAGTTGTTGATGATTTTGAAAAATCTAGCAAAAACACAAAACTGCACGTAACTCAAAACGGTGAGGTAACGTTACAAGCTAATTTAGAGTTAAAAACGTGGTGTAACCCGGCGGATTTAGACGATTGGCCCAATGATAAACACATTTGTATATTCCCAATCGGCGTTTTCGTAGATTCGAATAAAATAAATCTCCATTACGATAATGGTTCATCGGAAACAAATAAAACAATAAAAAATTTAGTTTATAAAACCGAATGGGATATCGAATCCGTTGATTTTAAAAATGGTTACATTGAAAATAACGAAAAAATTGATTTCGAAATTATTTATCGTTTAAAAAAAATTTCTAGTGTTTATTTTACGATTTATTTCGCACCCATTATAAGTAATTAACGATGAAAATGAACAAAAAATAAATTTCGTTAACATTTTTTTTTAACTTTTTAGTCATTTCAATTGGCACTTTATTAACTTTTTGGGTTTCACCTTTAGGAGGTTTAAAAATAACTTTGGCTTGTTTTAATTTGGTACTGGTTACATTGATATTTGTTACAATTGCTATTTCATTACCAGGACATCCGGAAAAAGTACCGAAAATTCGTAAGTACAAAATAATATGCATCATAGTACTGCATCGTATTAAATTTGTTATAACATATGTTATTTTGGTCTTTTTCTTTTTCTATGGAATACAGATTTATCTCGAATGTTTGCTATTTTCTGTATGAACAGAATATCTGATAAATTTAATTTGAGCTGCATCATACGCGTCATCATTTCCAAAGCAGCAATTATAATCGCAGGGTTTTGTACAGCCTCTGCAACATCCCGCATTTCGACTGCCATTATTCTCCATTCCTTCATCCCTCTTCCGCTAAGACACAATCAATCCTAATCTGTCTGATTCCTTGAATCCAGGATGTATTTGGTCTACCTTTCCTTCTTCTATAATTAAGTACATATCTAAGAACTCCATTTGGCCATCGGTTTCAGACATCCTCATTACATGCCTATACCATAACAACTTTTCAGATTCCACCCCATCAATTGCCGTATCTAATTTTCTCATTGGGAACATGTCCCAGTCTTCATACTCTGCATGCCCTTCTTAGAAAGTCCAGTTTCACCGTTTCAAGTTGTTTCCTGCTTTTCGTAATCAGCTGCCAGCATTCCAACTCGTATGCTCAAATTGGATCACTACTGACCATAATAAGGAGTTTAGCTACGAACACATTTTCGACCTTGTTGCGTCCTATCCCGAATATCTTCATCAGATCTGATTAGAGCTCCTTCTTCCGAAATTATGTTTATTGTTTATTTGTAGTTTAAGATCCCTCATGTCATTTTCCATTACCATACATTCTGTCTTATCCATATCCAAATGCAGTCTCCACGTCTGATATTCCTCCATCAGTTTCGTGAACATAAAGTCAATATCACAAGCTTCATTTGCTACAACCAGTTGGTCTTCAGCATAGAAAAGCGTTACAACCAGTTGGTCTTCAGCATAGAAAAGCGTTATCAGGCTTTGTTGTTTCATCTCTATACCCATTTGCGAGGCTTGTCTTCTCCATGTTTTCAGTGCTTCTTGGATGTATATTTATATAAGACATATATAATAAGAAGACATATCTTTGTCGAAAAGAAGTCAGATATCGACTTTCCTACCTTAATGGTACTCCTGGGGTCCTTATAAATGTTCCAAATGGACCGAATATATATCGTACCAATGCCAGTCTTCGTCAAGATCTCAAACAGCTTTTTATAGGACACCGTGTCATACGCGCTCTCATGTTTTCCAGCATTACGTTTTTCGATTATTTGTTGGAACACGAAAATATTGCACGGAAATCACAATCCATTTTCCATGTACGGCCGTCTTCTCTAGTCATGTTGTTCCTATGCCAATGGATCCCTATGCCCTCTCTTGTCATCCTTTGGTAGTAATGTGTAGTAACATTTGGTAGTAACCAGTGATGGGCGTTGGGTAAATACCCGGCGGGTAGGTATTTATAAAATGGATATTTATCCGGGTATTTACCCCAGCCCAGGATAAATACCCAAACAGTACCTATGTATAAAAATGATACAAGTAAAAATATAACAGATTCGGAAAAAAACGAGAGCAAGATGATCAAATAGACATTGAAGACGAGGAATTACTTAGGTATTTGCCATCAATGTTTATGCTTTTTGGGTCCAATTCAATTATTTAAATGCTCTCTCCAGGATTGTGATGAACAATTTGGGTTCAACATTGTATCACTTTATCTTACCCCACGACCAATGGTACTTTTATGCAATTTTACCGTCATTCCAGCATTCTTGTAAATGCTGTAAATATGTTTGGTGTATCGATAATCGACTCTGCATTCTTGAAGTGATTGCAAAACTGCCATCAACTCAATTTGAATAAAATTTTATAAATACCTCTAAATACCCATCTTGGGTAAATACCCCAGGGTATATATCCAGGGAATTTTCCCTTGAAAATAAAAACCCGGGTATTTAATAACACTGGTAGTAACATCCTCTGGTTAGCACATTGGTCCTATCAAAATCTATCATGTGTCCCTCTATGTGGCAATACTCTGCGACCGCCGACTGCTGGATTTTATTGAGTCAGATATCCCTCTCATACTTCTTTATGCGCCACTCGACGTTACGTCCACTTTGACCAACATAATACTTTCCATAACTGCTTTTAATCCCTTTAATGCAGTTACCTTGTTTTCCTTCTGCTTGCGTTGTTTGGTGGTTTGCTAGATATCTTCAAAGTATAGCCGCTCTTCTAGAATACATCTTCCTTTTTCTTCAACTTCTTTCTGCTGCATATCCTTTCTGCTCAATGACTTTTTCTTTTGTGAATGGTGATGAGACAAAGCTTATAGATATCTATTAGTGTGCGCATTCTACAATACACTTCTAGTTTCAAGTTCCCATCTAACTTCTTAGTAACCACAACATCCAGGTAAGGTAACTGTTTTGCAGCTTCCGTTTCTATGATAAATTTAATCATGGTGTGTCATTGGATACTGCTAATTGAAGTCTAAATACTGCTTGCAGAAGACTAGATACCGCCAAAGGAAGACTATGTGCTTGGAGAAAACTAGATACTACTTTAAAAAGACTAGATATTGCTTGCAAGATGCTTAATACTGTTTTCAAAATTCCGATAATGCAAATAGAAGCCTAAATAGATATTACATAAGAGTTGATACGGTAAATAGAATACTAGATAATGTTTGCAGGTACTACTTGAAAAAAGTTAGATATACTCTTTAACGCTTGACGAAAACCTAATACTTCTTGCAGAAAATTAGATACTACTTATACAGGATCAAATTCTCATTGAAAAATACTACTATCTTATCTATACGTTTATCCTGACCCGTAAAAGAAGACAGAATCTTAGCAAAGTAGATCGCCACTTAGAGCCGTTGGCGAATGTATGACATTGACAATATGTGGTTTATCGATTTTAGGTAATCCCTAAAGTCTTGGTAGTACTGGGGCCTGCAGAAACAAACATCTCTGAGGCTCTTGTAAGTGGCTGAATCCAAAAGGGTCGTCATGACCACAGTGGTATTCCCTTTGTCTGCTAGTAAAACGATAATATCTATTTTTTCTCTAATCGCCCGCAGTGCCCTTCTTCCATTAATTGTTAGATTAGTTTCAGTAATTTTGCTGATTTAAATACTCTCGTTATATCTTATCAGCTTTCTTTCGCTTTCACATCAGGCATTCTGCGAATAGCTGCTTTCACTTCGCAGATGATTTCCGCAATCATGACGCCAAATCTCAAACTAGACCTATGTATTCCCATGTACTTCCCCTCGCTAATGATCGAAGGGGGATTCCTATCTGCGTAGATCAATATAAGGCAAGGAAAGTATGCGGAAGAGGAAACGCCAATATTTTTTTTTTGTTGTCTTTACATTGTATTGAGTAACTTTAACTATACATTTTGTAAATGTAAAAATGTTTCGTGCACCTTCAATGGTACGCATACTACAGGTTGGAAATTGCTGATTTAGTTTGATTTACATTTCATTCCCATCATCTCTAAAACAGCAAGTGGGTAAAACAACAAATGTACTTTTATCATTTTTTTAAATTAATTCTAGTTCAAGCGTATAGCTATGGATATTTGGGAATCGTATTATCAATTTTTCTGGCAATAGTTACAATAAATATGACAAGGATTAAACAGAAAATGTTATTACCAAGAATTTTGTTTCAATTTTTAATGAGCAGAGGAGTTCAAAAAGGATTGATGTTAACTTCCACAAAGGTTCGTTAAAATTATAGAAATACAAACACAAAATTTTACTCCATTTATTTTTTTTAGGGCTCAATGAAAGATGCTATTCAACAATCTTGGCTTTTGTTGGCGACTTTTATAGATAGAATTTCATTTATAATTTATTTAACCTTTTATATCATAGGATTGTTTACACTTTTTTAATTGAAGAAGAAAATCAAAAACAAATTAACCAAATTAATAAAAAACCAAAATAACAATTTATAACGATCACTTACATACGAATTATCCACCTGGAATATTTTGTTGTTGATAAACCAACGTCCAATAGTAACCTTTAGCTCTTAACAATTCTTCATGTGTACCCATCTATAAAAATGAACAAGAAATAAATATAAATATATTTTTTTTAAATTAACATTAACAATTAAACCCTAAACGTACATATATATTTATGTTAATCAATGAAATTCGAGGTTTATCGTACCATGGTACCAGCAATCGCGATATTTATAGTTTGAAAACTAGGCCAATGTTGGGGTTGAGAAACAAATAGTTGTGAATAGTGACGGTTTCAGTTTGGGTGAATATTGTAAATAAAATAAAAGTTATTTTCAGTTAATAAGGTTGTGTTTATTATGGAGGTTGGAAAATGTTGAGATTTTGCAATTTTATATAATTAATTTTTTTTGTAGGCAGCAAAGTTTGCAAATACTTACAAATTATATTCAGATAAACCGTTTAATGTTGAAAAAGTTACGAAAATTTTGGAAGAAGTTCTTAAAGAAACATTAGAAAATTTAACTTATGATGCTGAAAAAGTCCCTAATCAAGCTAAATGGGCTTCTAGTCTTATAAAAGATAAAGTTAAAGAAGAAGAATATGATAGGTAAGTTAAAATTAGTACTATTATATATTATGACTGATAGCAACTTATTTCTATTTTTCCTTTTTAGGTACAAAATAATATCATTCGTAACAATCAGCGAGAAACGATCCCAAGATATGTTTTTCGCTTATAGTTTCTTATGGGATCCAGAAAGAGACAAACACGCATCTTTCTGGCATGAAAATAACTCGGTTGTCGGTATAGCTTGTTGTTTTGGACTGTATTATGAATAATTTTTATTTATTTAAAACTTCAAAATCATAACTAAATTGTAAAAGTAGATCAATACATCTAAATCAAAACAAATTCTTACCTCAATAATATGTCCGTTACTCAAAACAACAATTAAATCAGCATTCTTAATAGTTGACAATCGATGAGCAACAACCAAAACCGTTCTTCCTTTACTTGCATTTTCCAAAGCACTTTGAACAATTTTTTCAGACTCTGCATCTAATGCACTAGTAGCCTCATCAAGAACCAAAATACTAGGATTTTTTAATAAAGCCCTAGCAATAGCAACTCGTTGTTTTTGTCCTCCAGATAAAGTCGCTCCTCTCTCCCCCACCATAGTCTCATAACCCTTAGGAAATGATGTAATAAAATTATGAGCATTAGCCAATTTTGCAGCTTCTTTAACTTCGTCATCAGTAGCCCCCGGTTTTCCATAACGAATATTTTCCAAAATCGTTGTACCAAAAAGTATTGGTTCTTGACTAATTAATCCCAACGTATTTTGTCTTAACCAAGAAGGGTCTAAATTTTTGATATTAATTCCATCGATGCTTATCGACCCAGAATTTACGTCATAAAAACGTTCAATTAAAGCAACAACAGTCGATTTTCCTGATCCCGAAGCACCAACAAGCGCCACAGTTGACCCGGGTCTTATTTTCAAATTAAATTTGTTTAAAATAATTTGTTCCGGGCGACTTGGATAAACGAAAGTGACATTTTTAAATTCAATTTCGCCTTTTAATGATTGAGATGGAATCGTTTCGCCACCATAAAGAGGTAATTTTGGTTCTAAATCAATGTACTAAAAAAAGAATTTTTTAAACAAAATTATTTTTGAGAAAATTTTTTTTTACTTCAAAAACTCTTGCTCCCGCTGCTGTTCCTCGGATAACGGCCCCAAAAAGTAATGACATTTGACCTAAAGACCGTTGAATCGTTTGGGAGGATACCAAAAAAGCCATTAAATCACCACCTGATAATTGAGCGGTTGAAAGTAAATAACCACCCATACATAAAGTTGATAACACCATTCTTAAAATTAAGAGATCGTAATAAAAAAAAACTAAATTATAATTAGATTTAAACTAACCCATTTAAAAATAAATTTGTTCCTGCTTGAAATAAACCAATTCCAAGTCCCAATTTTTGATTTAGTTGCATGGCCAGACAAGTTTCCTCGTCGAAGAGTTCAATTTCTTGGTCTTCCATTGCAAAAGCACGCACTGTTCTTATATTTGCGATCGCTTCATCAGCTACAGCTGTAGTTTTCTCTATCTAAATTTCATTAAAAGTAAATACATTTTTATTGAATTAAAAAAAAAACTTTATTACAGTAGTCTCTCCATTTACGCGGGGGTTACGTAAAGCGAAAATCACGGGTAAATCGAAATCATGCAAATTGAAGCATCCTAACTTGTAGGATAAGTGTTAGTTATCCTAAATATATTATTATATATTTTATTAATGATACAAATTGAATACACTATTGTTTATTAGTTAAAAAATAGGTTATTATACTTAGTTCTCAACTGCAAGTTTAAACGTACTACTTCTAAGATAAAACTCTGTGATTTTGCGCTGTCTTGTTTCATTTTGGAGTCTCTGTTGCAAAAGTTTGTAAGATACCAAGGTATTACGAATTTGACATTGTGCCCTTAAACTTCATTGTGTTATAGGATACTTTCTATCAGGATATCTGTTAGTCTTTCTCCCATTTCTAAACATTTATTAACTGCTTTGAGAGTTAACACAGCTGGAAAGGTGTTTTCGTTATTTTCATCACTGCCACTACATTCATGATTATCATCAATTACTGAACTGACTTTTTCAATTCACATCGCGACTATTCAATATTTTTGTATACAATCAGCAATGTTGTAATTTTTCAGCATTGCGGTAAAGTTAGGTCTGCATCGTTGTCCAAATTATCTACCAATTTCTTGAATGTTCTTCTGGTATAATATGCATTAAATGTAGCTATAATACCTTGGTCTAAAGGCTGAAAAAATGAAGTTGTGTTAAAAGGCAAAAATTCAATCTTCACGTTTTCCTTTTAGGTTTTATAATCGTTTAGCTAGATGACGCGCATTGTCTATCGACAACAAGACTTCAAATGCAATATTGATACTTTTTAAATAATACTCTACTTCTAGTACAAAACAATTTTGTAACCAATCTACCACTATCTCCCGTTACCGAAGAAAACAGAAGAGTAAGTTCTTTAGCCACCTTAAATCAGGAACGATTTTTTCATTTTTAAATATGAAAGTTCTTGATAGTGTTTTTTTTTTCAAAAAAGGCAGGTTTCATCTGCAGTGAACACTTGTTACTCTCCCATGAACCTCAAATTGTGAAGGTTTTTAAATTTGTCCAACCAACCCGTACTTGCGACAAATGATTTTAGCTCAATATTTGATGAAGAGGCTTAATAAAACTGTATTACAGCTTTGTCGTTAATCCAGAGTCCAGAGTTTAGAGCGGCTATTTTTGAGTTTGATGCTCAATCCATAAAATCAACGCGATATCAACTTTTTTGATAGATCCTTTTCTAGAATATCTGACAAATTTTGAAGATTCATGAACTGAAACTTCAAGACTTTTTCAAATTTAGTTTTTATTTTCACGAATAGTTCTTATAGAAGAATCGATAACGTTATTTTTTAAGCTACTTCTGCTAAAGTGGACACTTTTTTATCTAGATCGTCTAATACCGCACATTTTTATAAAAGTGATAACACTTTTCTAGTTACTTATGCCGCACTTATGCCTCTTATGCACTCTAGACCACGACTGTTTATCCACTGACACACTACGGTTGACTGTAGGTCGTTTGAAAGCACCTTTCGGCGTGAATGCATGTTGGGTTTCGTCCATCATCCATTTGTTCCATTCCTCTCTCATATACACTTTCAATAGTTCATTTATCGAGACATCAAGAAGTTGCAATTGTGAAGTAAGTTCTCCCGGAATTACAGCAAATTCTGCATTTCCCTGTCTCACAGAATTTTACAAATGATCTAGTACAAGAAGAAAACTCTTCTTCAATAAAGCACCTTTCCATAATTTCATACCAGCCTCATCCATCCAACCCTTGTCATGTACGTGAACAACAACACCTAGCGGTATTTTAGAAGGTTTTAGCATTGTTTTGAGCTTGAAAATTGGACCATTGGATTAAGTTTAGTACCTTCAGCACAACATGAAAAAACAACAGTGTAGTGCATTTTTTCATGTCCACTTGTTTTTATAGTTACAGAGTTCTAGCACCTTTCATGGCAACAGTTCTGTTACTCGTCACATCAAATATCAGAGGAGTTTCGTACGTCAGGTCGTGTTGTAGGCTGAATGAACTCTACAGGAAGTTGCGCGTTTTTTTTTTCGAATTGTTCCTATTGATGTTATTTTATATTCTGTAAACAATGTCCATCATTATGTTCCTTCCAGTCCGAGAAATATGATTGGAGAATATCTTCAGACCTATTTGACACCTTATAACAGCCTTTGGCTCCATCTTCCATCTTGCTTGTGTAGAAACGTTTAGCATCACATAATGCGAATACCTTTGTCCCGTATTTATTTGGTTTCTATGGAGTCTATTGCCAAAATCCACACATTTCTCTAAACGCCGGCAATATTTCAGTAATCGTTACAAATTCAGACTCTTGAAATCCTTTTTCACAATTAGTTACAAATATATCAAAGATTATCGAATTATCGCAAGCTTATCAGTTGTTCTGCGCTCATCTCGAGTTTGCTTGTCATCAAACCTGATTACGCGGAGATGAAATCTAAATCTCCTAAGCGGCATTGTAAGACGAAACATTTCAACACCTGATCCGTCGGTGTTCTAGTTCAAACAATCAGACATCACTCAAATAAATAAGTCCGATTAATGCAGGAATTTCAATTAGTTTGATTGGCATCTTGGCTTCTAGAGTAGTGGATTTTTACAATATCTATATATTCTATATATTTGTTTGTATTAGTCACAATAATGTTCATCGTTTTATCATTAAAAAAATATTCCCATATATTTATCGGTTCTTTTAGCAATTTTGTATCTTTGGAAGGTCCCGGAAGTGTTTTTGTAATATTCTCTTTTCTCATTTTCATAGTCCTTCGCTGTAAAGGGTGTTTCTTCCAATGGGTGATTTTATCTTGTTTTATACATATATGTTCTATATGTAGGTTTCCTGAATAGAGCACTTGCTCTTCAGTACCTGTAATGACTTGTTCAGATCCATTATTTACATCCTATCTTTCTTCTCTATCTGATTCCTGGTCTGATTCGATATCCTCATGCAATTTCGTTGTTGGTGTATGAGACGTTGTTACTCTTTTTCGTAAAAAGCCATCTGTAAGACTTGTTTTTAAAAAATCTCAAATACACTACGGTGGTTATCTATACAAAAAATATTATACTTACCGTTATAACTAAAAATTTATTACCTATATAGTCGCCCTGGTGTTACACACCATATACGTAAGTCACCTCGGTCTTAGAATCAGGAAAACGCAATAAATTAAAACTACTCCACTCTAATATTACCAAAATTGAACAAATAGTAACACGCGGCGACCTAGGAGCATAACTAAGGCGACAGAAACCTCTAGCACAGAACAACCAGAAATAACACTGACGTCAATTCGTTTGATGTTGGCGGCATCTCGTTTTATGACCTCGATTTAAAATACGCGATCACCTCGCGAGGATCCATAAGTGCGATGAATGCACAATGAATGAGGGAGACAACTTCATTTACCACCAATAGCAGCAATACTTGCTTCCTCGCATCAAGATGGCATCAGATTTGGCGGGATACCGCCAGCATCACTTCTGGTTATTCTGTGCCTCTTGCTCCACTGTTGTGTAGAATACAGCGAATATTTTAATCGCCAGTAGACGACTACGAGAAAGTTCAGTTCCAGTGTAGTGCTAGCTTACAAGCGTGTATTTGAATCATGTTTATATTAATTCCAATGCCTTCTTCAGTGTCCTTCATCCATTTTAATACGTCATCTCCTAATTTTGGCTATTTTGCATTCAGTCCTCTATTTGCACATTTAGTCTGCCTCACTTTTTTTTGTTCTTCTTTACAAGCCCGCCAATCACGAATGGTTTTATTGTGTTGGTGGAGAGCCGAAATACCACTCAGCTGCTGTATTGCCAAGATCTTCTGCATATGCTATTACCACAGAATAACTATTCTGTGCTATTACTTTCAATTTATAATCCGCATCATATGAGTACCTTTTATTTTGTTCCATTACGAAACTAGTTACATAACACAAATCACTTTCAATTCAGGTTCACTGGCATCATAGACTGCAATAACGCATCATAGATGTTCTGTTTATAGTTACAGTGTTCTGGAATTGTGTTGGCGGGACGGGAGGGAGACAGTGTTAGGAAACTTGTGAATCCTCACAACTTATGTTCGTCACATTGCTGCGCTGCTGTTAAATCCAATGTTGCCAGATAGAGATAGGTTTTTAAAGGAATTTAAACCAAACAGAAACGTGCATTGGTTTTTAAATTCAAGCACAAATTAATTGTAACATAGAACGTGTAATAGCACGTTGGCTTCAAAGACGCGTCAATATGACACCCACCAATACATCGCGACATCACATGTAAAATTATTGGTGAGAAAACTGTGTAAAAGTGAATCGACCACCGCGTAAATTAAGCATCTTTAACTTATACTATAGCGGATTACCGCTATAAACGTAATCCGCGTAAATGAAGCGACTACTGTATTAAATTACCTGCCCTTGAGCTCTTCTAGAGACTTTACGTAACATAGCTCCAAAAATTGTACCAACAACAACAACTGATGGTACAAAAAGTAATGTAAAGAAAGTCATTTGTGGTGAGATTAAAAATAAAGAAATTGAACACCCAATAATTTGCGTTGTTGCTCTTAAACCAGAAGAAATAGTTTGTTTAAAACTACTTTTAAATTCTTGAATATCAGTTGTTAATCTATTGATTATTTCACCCGTTCGTTGTTCATCAAAAAATGCTATATCTTGTTGTATAATGGAAGCAAAAAGATCATTTTTCATATGATATGCGATTTTTTCGCCTAAATTTGATAACATGTAAATGTAAAAAAATGTAAATACAGATTGTCCTAAATACATTCCAATTAATTTTAAAGCTGGTACTTTAATTTCTTCCATAAAACTGTCACCATCTTTTAATTCAGAGTTAAATCTGTTTACAACATCAATCATTTGGCCAATTAATTGTGGGATTTGTATATTTAAAATAGCCACAAACAAGGCACCCTAAAAGTTTCAAGCACAATTAATGCTTTCTAATAATTATTTTATAAACATACGATAATTGCTGCAATTAAATACCAAATATGGGGCTTTAAATACGACCAGAATTTACTCCAATTAAACCTTAAATGATCATCTTTTGATGATCGATAATGTGACATACGAGTGCGACGAGCATCGCAATCAACTTTATTTAAATAAATTTGTACTAAACTCCCTCCGGATATCACCAAACATATATTTGTTATATGTGGAAAAGTATATAAAGACGTTTTCGTTGGTTTTGTACATTTTTTAGGGCTTGTAAAATGATTTCTTTGTAAATAAACGTTCGATTTTATGTTAAATTTATTTGTAGACCTACAATTAAAAAAAAAATAAATTTTAGGTTATGCAACTTGTTTAAATATAAATAATTATAAAACAACTTTACCTGTACAACGTTGATAAATTTAAACGGGTACAATTAAATAGTTTCCACATATTTATCTTGGTTTAAGTTTATAAAGTTGCAATCATCCTATTTATTAATTTAATTAAACTAATTTGTTATTCAAATTAATTTTGACACATTTTTTAGGTTATAATTTTAATGTGTTGTATCATTAATAGATGTCGCAGTTTAAAACATTTTGGATCATAATTTGAACTTAATAATTATTATGGGTTAATTTATTTCGAATTTTAAAAGTGAAATAATTGTAATAATAAAGTTTTTTTTTTTTAATGAATTTTCAAAGTATTAAATTCATTTTTGTATACGTATTTTAATTGCTAACCACTAGATGGCGCCGCAGAAAAGTCAATTTCAATTTAAATTTCTTGCAAATTTAATAAATTTTAACTATTTATGACACAAAATTGTTGTTATGGAAATTAAAACGTTTTAAATTATTTTTATTTTTTGTCACATACGACTTTTAGTACTATTTTTGTTGCATTTTGTGTTATTCAAAATTCTTCATCATTTTGATTTTGTTTTGTTAATTTCAATACAAGAACATGAATTCATCGCGAAAAATTAACTTTAGTACTACAGGAACTGATCCAGACGATAATTTCAGTGTACCTGAAACCCTATCTGTTTCAATGACTTCAAAACTTTCAAAGAGAAAGTCGTCACCAGTTGCATTTAAATTGCCAGAAGAAGAACTTGATGAAAAATTCCCAAATGCGAAAAAATGTTCTAATTTTCTCGACATAACAAGTGTGTGTGAAGAATTTGTCGGTGGAATTTTACAAGCGGGATTAAAAGAAGCTGAAGATATCTTATTGAATAGAAGTTTTACGATACAACGATCAACCCAAGAAGTAAAGTCTTCATCATCAAGTTCAAATGATTCGGCTGATGCCCATCTAATCCATCTTGAATTTTCAGGATGGCCCAAAATTGAACAATTTTCAATTCGATTAGGTCTTCAAAAACTCCATGAATTTATGAATTTTTGGATGTATGAAGAAGATTGGCTTTTTGATATTGAATATAACAGCGGTTGGAGTGATTTAGTTCAGGATTATTATTTATATGAAGTAATAATTAAATTAATTAATTAATTAATTTATTTTTTTTCTGTTGCGTTTTTAAGAGCGTTTGGAGTATTCCAACTAAAGAGTATCCTGTTGCACAAGCCACAGCAAGTATTTTCTTCACATACGAAGTGTCCAGAATTAAACCAAAATGTTGCGCGGTTGAAATTTATTACACGTTTGAAGGGCAACTAACGAAATTTGCTCCAACAAAAGAAACTAATCCGGAAAAATGTCTTTTCAGCATCGTTGATGCTAAACTAAAATTTTTTGAAACTTTAAGGTTTTAATCAAAATTAATTGGTTTTCTTTTTAAATAAACGAATCCTTCTAAAAGTTAATTTATTATTCTCTATAAAATAACCAAATTCGGCTAGATAAAAAAATAATATTTGTAAAATTATTCGTAATACGTTCCAAAACAGAGAGCAATTCCAAAAACATACATATTTTCAGTCCAGAAAGAAGCGTGGCTATCCCTCTCTGTATCATACAAGAATCTATAAGCGAAAAACATATCTTGAGATCTTTTCTCGCCAATACAAACATAACAAATGAATTTGTATCTAAAATTAATATTAAATAATAAGGAAATTATAAACTGTTTCGTTGAAACTTACCGATCATATTCTTGCTCTTTAACTTTAGCTCTTATAGCACTAACAGCCCATTTTGCTTGTTTTGGAACTTTATCAGCATCGTATGTTAAATTTTCCAAAGCTTCTACAAGAACCTCCTCCAAAATTTTTCTTACTGTTTCAGCATGAAATGGTTTATCAGAATCTAGTTTGTAACTGTTAGCATATTTTGGCGCCTAAAAATAAAAGTAAATTAAGATATATTCTATTACTAGATGGATTCATAAATTATTCTACAGGGGATTGCACAAACATATCGGAAATGTGTTCAGTTTAATTTAGGTTGGGTCACTAGCGCCATCTTTTGTTGGCTAGCTTCTTCAAGAAATAATAATAATAAATATTAACCGCTCGGATCAAGAGGAGACAACCTCATTCAAAACACCAAAGTCAAGGTGGAACAGCTTATGCCGAAGACTTTTATCGCTTTATAGCGTTGGTCAAGAATACTTGATTCCTAATAAGCGGACTCTGGACACCTGGGTACCTCCAGTTTCAACAAAATCCCCTTATTGCAGTGGTGGACCTTTTTCCCTAGCTACTCGTGGGACCTATATGGAGCAGAATAACATAATTGAAAAAGAACTTGATGTAACTCCGAGCGCATCAAGGCAGAAATCGCTCGCAACAAGTGGAAGTGCACCTTACAGTGTCTGCCGCTTCCTTCACAGCAAACAATATCTATAACAGACACCATAAAGCAATAGGAGAACATTGAGAAGCTCCAAGTAAAAGAAAAGAAATTCAACGGTGCAGCACGAAATAGGCTTAAATGGCTGCTCAAACAAGTTAGTAAAGAGGAGAAGAGAGCCAAGAGACCTCGATCCGAGAGTACAACGTCAAAAGGGCCTGACACCAAACGAGCGGCGGCTAAAAGGCGTATTTCTAGCGAAGACAATCTTCCACGAGAACAAAAGCCTATAACTTCTAGCTTCAGGTGTTAGAAGGTAAAAAGATGGGAATTGCTGATTCCCTATTTCCAGAGGTAAACCTTAGCACAGCCCAAATGCAGGCTATTCAAGAGGTAATCATCTCAAGAATAGTAAATCTAACGGCACGAAGAGGAGATTAAGCATAAATTCCTCGGAACTACCTTTAAAGCAGATTCCGCATTTTAAAATTGTTTCAAAATGAAAATGTGTTATGTCAGAAGATGTGTTAGGCCACAAACGAATGGTATAAGTACGAAGGCTTTCACGGCCGGTGTGTGTTAATTGAACTAAAATTAGAACTAAAACTGGAACTAACTCTAGAAACTTTTTTTGGGTGTCTTTTAAGAAAAGGTTTGACGTTTTGGATGCCATGTTGCAACCTTCTTCAGAAACTGGTTCAAAGTGACGTAATCGAAAATCGGGAACTTAACTAATTATGTCGCGTCCGGTGTGAAGCAGGAAGAGGTGTTCATCACCATCTCCCATGTTCTGCTAAGCTCCCAGCCATCCACTCGGTTCTCTTATCAGTCTCTGGTAATATCTGTTGTCCCTAGCCAGCACCTTTGTTTGTTCGAAGTCTATTCAGTGTCCCTCTGCATGCTCCTTACATCCCTTTCATGCTCCTTGATGTATCACTTGACGTTACGTCCAGTTTGGTCAACGTAAACCTTCCCACAACTACACGATAGTCGATAGACTCTAGCTCCTTTTAATGGAGTTAGTTTATCCTTCGCTATCAGAAGTGTGTTCCGAATTCCCGTACCGCACTATGATGTCGTTTTTCTTGAGGTGCCTGGCAATTCGTTCCGTTACACCTAAAACATAGGGAAGACAGATAAATCCAAGTAGTTTTGTACTTACCGCGGCCTCCCTCTGCTTTCGCTGCTTGATGTTCCTCGAAGTGTATCCGTTCTTCTGTAGCACGCCTCGTAGAAAGTGTTGCTTCAAGTTATCTCCTTCACATATTCTCGCTGCTCGCTGAAATAATGTACGGATCACGGACCTCTTCTGTTAGGGATGATGATATGATGGTGCCTGCAAGTACCTGATGGTATAGGTCTTCTTCTCCATTTGTCGTCCTGGTGACCAACACATCTAGGAAAGGTAGTTTTTCGGCAGTTTCTGTTTCCATGGTAAAATTAATCATAGGATGTTGAGAGTTCAAGTGATCCAAAAACTCTTGGAGCCGTTTTTCACCATGTTGCCATATCAAAAACGTGTCATCCATATATCGGAGCCACAGCTTTAGTTTCAAGTGGCTCTTCTTCAAAGCGTCTTCTTCGAATTATTCCATGTAGAAATTCGCTATAACTGGCGATAACGGAGATCCCATGGCTGCCCCTTCGAACTGCTCGTAAAAGTTCTCACTTTCAGCTGAAATTCGTCGATGATAAACAGTACTTCACTAGATTTGGCACGTATTCTGGTAATCCCTCCAGAATGAGTTTTTGGCAGAGACCATCTACAGCATTCTTAACTGGTACCCTAGTAAAAAGGGATTCCACATCAGAAATCATCAAAATATCCTCAGCCACATAATAAACAAAGTGTGTAGAAACCCTGACATACGATTCCGTATTCCCTGTGAAAGGAGACAGAATCTTTGCAAGATATTTAGCCAACTGTTTATGAATCTTCGGTAGTCCATAAATTCTTGGTGGTACCGGCGCTTGCACAAACAAACCTTTCTACTGTTCTGCTAGAATTCCTGTGGATTTTAGCAGGTCCTTCATTTTCCTTACGATTTTGTCTGTGGGGTCCTTCTTGATCTTCCTGTAGTTGGCTGGTTCCAGTAGGTTCATCATTTTGTCGTCATATCCTTTTTTGCCCATAACCACGGTGGCATTCCCCTTGTCTGCTGGTAACACGACGATTTCTGATTTTTCTTTAATAGATCGGAGTGCCTTCTTTTCACCAACCGTCAAGTTGGATTTCCGTAGTTTTGCTCACTTCAATACTCTTGCAACTTCTTGCCGGATCTCTTGGGCTTTTAGTGCTGGCATCCCTCAAAGATCTGTTTCCACTTCGCAGATGATTTTCTCTTTCGGGACCTTCTTCGGGGCGATTGAGTAGTTTAATTCTTTGGCGAGCACAGTGGTTTCGTCTTTCGTTAGTGGGACACTCGATGTGTTGATGATGATTGTTTCTACTGATAAACTATTACATTTCTTCTTTTGTATACATACAACCGCCAAAACGTAATGGTGGGAGTAGGTTTCATTCAAGCCAACTCCCAGCCATGCAAAAGCGCCTCCGACGTGCTGGTCATGTTGGACACATGTTGTGCTGGTTAAGAGCCATATATTATAAGGAGGTAAGATCAGAAGACTAACGACAAAAGAAGGTAACTTAATTTATCACAGAGGAAAGTGCCCTGCGAGAGCAACGATACTTGCTAAATCCTTCCTAAACTGCCCCCTTTTAACTCAATTTATCACTAGGGATCTGGTTGCAGTATCAGTGGAACTAGTAGCAGCACACAAGAGGCGATTATAGCCTCTCCCTACTTTCCACCATGATTCTTATTCTAGGTCTAGTATTAGTTCTAGTACTACTATTAGCTGTAATTTTTGTTGTTATTCAGAGTTAAATTGTTGTATACTTTTATTAAACTAAAATAAACCTAGAACTAGAAACATTCGGATTTAGCCGTCTTACTGGAAGGTTAAACCCAAAATTCCTTATACTAACATTACTGATTTAAGATATGCGAAACATAACCTAAAAACTTAAAAATTGAATTATTACCAACACGAAAATAGCTGTGCCACTTCTGGTGATTTTTTGTTTAACCAACCTACCGTCATTTTGACAAGTCAGGAATTTTGTGAACGGATTATAAATGTTTGATCGTTGAATTGTTTTTTGATTTTTAGCTTATTTTTTAAGTTCTCTTACCTTTTGCCGATCAAAATATTCCGCAATACTCCCCCTTCGAAATGACACAATACTTCCAACAGCATTTCTTATAGATCTCGTCGATTTCTTTCTTAAAAATCCTTCTTTCGAATCCTCTCCACTTTGCCGTTTTCCCAAACTGCTCACGCTCATTTTTGAACTTTTTCGTTCTTGAATACCGCTCGGAGTTTGCTGCGGCTGCTTATCTTCTTCGCCCACTGCGCTTTCTTCAAAGAATTCTTCCCCTTGTATTTCTTCATGTAAGGAATGTTCTTCACCTCCTTCAGTAGTCTCTGCAAGGACGCCTTCTTCTGGTGCTGCTCCCTCTGCACCTGGTTCTGCTGGCGCACCTTCTTCAGCAGGAGGTGCTGCGCCTTCTTCTGCTGGTGCAGCTTCTCCAGCAGGTGCTTCGGCAGCGGGTGCTTCTGCTTCTGGTGCTTCTGCCGCTGGTGCTTCTGCAGCGGGTGCTTCTGCAGCGGGCTCTTCTGCAGCGGGCGCTTCTGCAGCGGGTGCTTCCGCCGCTGGTGCTTCTGCTGGTGCTGCTTCTATAATACATGTTATTAGAAACTTATTTTGGATTCAATTTCACTAGATTTACCATCAGCCATTATGTTTCTTTATGGTGTAAAGTCAATGTAATTTTAAAAAAAGTAGGTTTTCTATGATCTTTTTATTGAACATTTTGAATGTTTTTGTCAAAAATATGTCAAATTCAAAAAAATGTTAAAAATTGTTTGGTAAAATATAAAAAAATCTTAAAATGAATAAAAAAGGTTAGAGGACTTTAACTGTAGTTAATAAGGTAAGATTCAAAAGAAATCTATTTAAAAAAATTGCTAATGATTCAATTATAAGTCAATCGCACCGTTTTTGATTTGAAGTTTTAAAAAAGAAATTATTTATACAAAAGGTAAAATTAATTAATTTTCTTATTTAACTGAGTTAATTGAATTTGTTTACGCAATCTGAGTTATATTTTAATTTTTATTGTTATTCCTAATTTTTGAGGTTATTTAATATGTCAAATATTTTAAACGTCAAAAATCAGTTAAGTATAAAATTATTAAAAATAAATTTATATTGAGTTTTATCGATTTCCCAATTCATTAAAAACATCATTTTAGATTTCTTGAGATAACTATATTATTATTATTATTATTATAATATTAAGTTTTGTTGATTTAATTTTTCGAGGTTATGTTTTAACCTCTCCTTGTCATTATGACATTTAAACGTTAAAACGTAAAATAATCGATTATGTTAAAATAATGCCGAAATCATCAATTAAAACCGTTAATTATTGATTAACATTTGCAGTTAATATTAGCACAAACATGATTCATCCATTCGCGTGCGTTAAGTAATTTTCAAGGCATTCCTCCTCTTTGTTTTTGTTAAGTTTTTTCCTTCTATGTAATTCAGGTTCTAATTCAGGCAGTCACTGAGTATTGCGTGTCATGTAGAAAGATAATTTCAACAACAACTCGTACGTTTCATCACATCCTATTTAAATGAGGCAACAATCTTAATTTTGTCAATTCATTCCCAAAAAAGACTGCAGAAAACTTAAAACTCAGTGTTTAAACATAAAAATCGTTATTAAATTGAGGTAGCTGTGACGTCGTTAAGGTCTTAACTGTTCAAGGTCTTAGTGACCCTGAAATTTTGTGTAGCAAAAAAACCGGATGTGAATAATTTAATATTAAAAGTAGCTTAAGAAAGGAGTAATTATAAAGAAAAATATTCCCTGTTGAGAAATGTCTCAAGCTAATGGAATGGAAATTGTAGAAATAAATCAAAAAAGGTAAAATTTATAATTAAAATTAATATATTTTCAATTACTTGAAACATTTTGATAAAGTTATGAATCATAAAGATTCTCATCTGCTATATAAAGGTAGAAATTTTATTTTTAAAATCAGTTCATCTTTATTTATTTTTCATGAGATTATGTAACTAACCTCTTTTAAATAAAATTGTCTCTTATTAATCTTTTTATAATGGTTTTTAATTCTTTTGATCGTAGTTGGTTCACCACCGAATGGATTTCTTGGAACAAATACTCGGAAAATATGCTAAGGACAATTGAAAAAAGGATTTTACAAAGTAAATTAATCTTAAAAACTTCATCATGATATTAATTTCCTTTTTTGTAGGTATTAAAACAGCTTATAGAGGTTGGTTTGTCGATATAGGTCCAGTAGTAGGTCCATCAGATAAAATATGGACAATATCTTTAAATATAGAATCAAAAAACACCCCATTAGTACTTCTTCATGGTTTAGGATCGGGTGTAGCACTTTGGTGTTTAAATTTGGACACATTAGCAGCTTCCCGACCAGTTTATGCAGTTGATCTTTTAGGATTTGGACGAAGTTCTCGCCCAAGATTCAGTAACGATGCGTTAGAAGCTGAAAAGCAAATGGTTAAAGCTGTTGAAGAATGGCGAAAAGAAATGAAACTTGAAGGTTTCGTACTTTTAGGACACAGTATGGGTGGATTTTTAGCGACGTCTTATGCTATTTCTTTTCCACATCGAGTTAAACATTTGATACTTGCTGATCCTTGGGGTTTCCCCGAACGAAATCCTGATGAGCGTTTTGTGGCTCCTTGGTGGTTAAAAGCAGCAGCTCACTTACTAAGACCATTTAATCCTTTATGGGCGGTTAGAGCAGCTGGTCCATTTGGACAGTGGTTAATTAATAAAGCCAGACCAGATATACCAAGGAAATACGAAATGTTTTTAAATGATGTTAGTTTAATTCCTCAGTATATTTATCAATGTAATTCACAAACACCCAGTGGTGAAAGCGCTTTTCATAGTATGATGTATGGTTTTGGATGGGCTAAAAATCCTATGGTAAAAAGAATTGGTAATTTACACAAAGATGTCCCTGTTACACTCATGTATGGCGCAAAATCATGGGTTGAAAATGTTGCTGCTGATATTATTAAAGAAAAACGACAAGGATCTTTAGTACAAGCTCATGTAATTTTAGATAACATCATTTTTTCTTATTTTTATATTGATAATAATTTGATTTTTAGATAATAAATGGAGCTGGTCATCACATTTACGCGGATAAACCGGAAATATTTAATAAACATGTTTTGGATGCTTGCGCATTAACTGACACAACCACCCGTAGAACTTCCACGCCCTTATTAAATCATCGACCGAAAAGTTTTGAAGAAGTTGAGATAACAACTCCAAATACAACAACAACAACAACGAATCCAGAAAACACTTAACGAAAGAATTAAAATTTAAGGAAATTTAATTTATTAAACCTAAATAATTATTTAATTCAGTGCAAAGTAACGCTGATATTTTGAAAATAATTACACAAAACAAAAACGTTTAGTGTTTTTTTTAAATTTTTTTTGATGAACTTTGCTTCTGCAAAGACGTTTTTAATTAAGTTTTCTTATTATTTCCTCCTTAATTTGAACTAGTGACGACTGTGATAAGATATTTTGTGTATTTATTATACAGAAAGGCGGGTTGTATAATGATTGTTATATTTTTTTTAAGGTGGTAATAAAAATGATTGATTTAGTGCGAATATTCTTTAATTACTAAAGCTATGTTGTATTTCCCAGGTATTTTGTGAGTATTTAAAGAATTTTCTGGGATTGATAAAGATGATCCCTTATCACCCCCCTCCTTCTTCCGTTCCCTCGTCTCAACCACCACCCTCATCCATCTGGAGAGGATTGGGAGATACTAGAACATACAGTCTGTTTATTAATTATCGTAACCGGCATCATCATCGCAAGTATGCAACCAATATCACAGTATTGGTATTGCAATACGCAAATCGCGTGTCATATTGGTTGCATACTTGCAATGATGACGTCGAGTACGATAATTAATTAATACTGTATGTTAACACCACCTCTTCACATCATCCGCTTGGTCTACCGAAATCTGGCCACCAACCTCTTCCCTCCTTCGCCAAGTATTTTGGAAGCCCTTCCGTTCTTATGTCTCTATATCTCAGTGGTGTCCATAACGTAGATCGCGAAGCCATTTTGAGTCGATCGCCAACAAAATCATAAATCTGAAATATCTATAATAAAGATATATATTTATGCTATGCTCTAAAATTCTCAACATGCAAGAAATCATGACCATAGCTTTTAAAATCAGCAGTTCTATCCGGACAAAAAGTTTACAAATAAAGCTTTTTAAATTATACGTAGAAGAAAGCGGCCACGAAAGATGTATTGAACTTGTGATGCATACTGAGATCAGGTGGTTAAATAGAGGCAAGTTCTTACAGCGTTTTCGCGATTTAATTGACGAAATTAAACAATTTCTTATTACAAGAGGCGACGATTACAGGATGTTGGAAGATGATAGTTGGCTTTTAGATTTGTCTTTTCTGACAGATATTACAAGTAAGCTGAATGATATGAATTTAGAACTTCAAGGACTGAATAAAACAATGTTTGACATGATGAGTTCTGTAAATGCCTTTAAACACCTTTAAATTTCATTGCCTAACATGACGTCTGTCTGTGTAATGAAACTGTCTAACTTGTTCGAAATAGATGTACAGGGTGGGCAAATTTGGGTGTTATTATAGGCTATCTCAGAAACTATAAGAGATACGAAAAAAGTAGGTGCCATGTCCCGGTCTCTTTTTTCGATACTAACCCAATCCTGCAAACACCAAACCTCAAACCTCTTTCGTTTATTTTTGAAATTAGAGAAATAGGGTTGATACGTTCTTAAGGCACTTTTTTAAGTAGAATATACTGCCGTTGAAAAATTTTAAAAATATTTGATGATTTTTGAGATACAACACAAAGTTGTATTTTTTTAAATACAAACTATAGTAGATTATGGTGTTACTGAAAAGAGCATATTTTTAGCTTTCCAATGATGNGTAAAGGTATCATTTTCATGTTGACTGGTGAAAATTTGAATTTTGTTTTCACTTCGTTTTGTCTGCAACAAAACGCATGCACTTTCGACTCTTCAGAGTACCACGAGAAAAAAATGAAAGGAATTTTGGCGTAATGTCATCAATAGAACGACATAGTTTTAAAGTTCCCGCTTGACTGTCAAAATGGCGGCAAACCGCGGTACTTTGTAAATCTAGGGACTTTAAGCAATTTGTGCTTACAGTGCCATCTAGCCGTCCGTGGTACCCATTAAATATCTGTCTTTTTTATACGTATTGAGTTAACACACCGTGAAGCTGAATGATATGAATTTAGAACTTCAAGGACAGAATCTGTGGACAGAATAAAACAATGTTTGACATGATCAGTTCTGTAAATGCCTTTAAACAAAAACTAAACATAATGTTATCTAGAACGAATAATAATAATTTCACTTCATTGCCCAATATGACGTCTGTCTGTCTAATGAAACTGTCTTAACTTGTTCGAAATGGATGTACATAAGTTAAAATCAGAAATCATAACACCGCAAAACGATATCTATGTTAAAGCAAGGGCATCTGAAGAAAATTTTTGAAAATATTTATCGTAAGACAAAATTGTCGAAAATGTGTTGAGAATTTGTACTCATGTTGTGGTTCAACATATTTCATTGATATATGCCCTGCATTTTCACAAATGAATATAATAATATCTAAATACCAAACGGCATTGAGAGATACTCATTTAGAATCTTGTTCGGGAAATGCCTTAAGTAATTTAATTACATTCCCAACTTTAAAAAGATCGTAGATTCACAGCAGTGTCGAATAAGTCAAACATGTATGAATGCACCTAGAAGCTCAATTTAATATCTGTCTTAAAACTTAAAACATTAATAAATGAGTTAAATGAAATGATTTTTTATTTCATATTTTCTTCATTGAAAAGATGTGATATTATTATAAGCAGGTAGGTAAATATCGCAGCTTTAGAAATAATGTGGCACAACTTAAATCTTCTTCCATCCCCAAACTTCCGCCCCATACATCATTGCAGTAATCAGCAACCCATCAAACATAATGTTTCTCTTTCTGATGTGTCTAAAAATACACTAAAAATATGTATANTCATGGTTGGGGAAAACAGGGACGATACTACCGAAGATTTCATTCATTGATACCCAACTGTTCTAACCTTACAACCAGTAAGTTTAGTAGAAGAAGATGACACAGTCTGTGACTGTTTAGTTCCTGAAGTTGTTATTCATATTTAATTATTCATTAATTAATATGTTTCTTGTATTTTTAATAAACAAACTTTATCTACAAATCATTTTTTATTGGTGAACAAAGTAAGGGATAAGATACTGAGAAATTTAAATCAACTCCTCAAAGTTTTTATTCATTGGTACAAAACCAACTTTATCCTGCATACTGGTACAAGAGCAACTTTCTGTCATATTCGTGCAAAACCATATAGCAATTAGGTAGTAATTACTGTCCGAACCCGCCTACTATAATCAAAATTTTGAACTTTAGCGCTTACTATTTTGGAATTGAAAATTAACGCTTATTTTCCGCAACTACACCATACATGTGATACATCATTGGAAAGCTAAAAATATGCTCTTTTCATTAACATCATAATCAAGTATAGTTTGTATTTAAAAAAATACAACTTTGTGTTGTATCAAAAATCATCGAATATTTTTAAAATTTTTCAACGGCAGTATATTCTACTTAAAAAAGTGTCTTAAGAACGTATCAACCCCATTTTTCTAATTTCAAAAATAAATGAAATATAAGCATTTTTTGAAATCACGAAAATTTGACTTTTTGGCTATAACTTAAAAACAAAAGAAGATAAAGATTTGGTATTTGCGGGATGGGGTTAGTCTTGAAAAAAGAGACCGGGACATGGCACCTACTTTTTTCGTATCTCTTATAGTTTCTGAGATAGCCTATAATAACACCCAAATTTGCCCACCCTGTACACACAAGTTAAAATCAGAAATCATAACACTGCAAAACGATATCTATGTTAAATCATATACTCATTTAGAATCTTGTTCGGGAAATGCCCTAAGTAATTACATTCCCAACTTTTAAAAGATCGTAGACTCACAGCAGTGTCGAATACGTCAAACATGTACCAATGCACCTGGAAGTTCAATTTAATATCTGTCTTAAAACTTAAAACATTAATAAATGAGTTAAATGAAATGATTTTTTATTTCATATTTTGTTCATTGAAAAGATGTAATATTATTATAAGCAGGTAGGTAAATATCGCACCTTTAGAAATAATGTGGCACAACTTAAATCTTCTTCCATCCCCAAACTTCCGCCCCATACATCATTGCAGTAATCAGCAACCCATCAAACATAATGTTTCTCTTTCTGATGTGTCTAAAAATACACTAAAAATATGTATATTTTTTATTCATGAAATAGTCTAGCCATATACAACAGGACAATCGAAAATACTCGAATCTCGACGTATTGCCTTAAAAAACACGTCCAGGCAATACGTCTCGTATTATCGAGTATTTTCGATCGTCTTGTTGTATAATATATGAATATATTATATGTACTTTTGTGTGAAATTGAGGTTGAATATTGCTTTAAATATCAACTTTATCTAGGTTGTTCATTAATCATTATATTTAAAATATAATATATTATATAGCTATATCAATCGTATATATTATTAATTCAGATGAATTTTAGATTTAATCTTTGTCATTTTAAAATGAGAAAATAAAAATTACAAAATATCTAATGTAAGCCAATGGTTTATTTTAATACACATTTCGGAGGGTACATAAAATATTATTATTAGTGCATACCACATATTAATCCTTATTCCTTGTGGAAAATATATTGAACACTTCCATATCTTGAACTAGTGTACCATATGTACAGGGTGGGCAAATTTGGGTGTTATTATAGGCTATCTCAGAAACTATAAGAGATACGAAAAAAGTAGGTGCCATGTCTCAGTCTCTTTTTTCGAGACTAATTCAATCCCGCACACATCAAACCTCTATTTTCTTTTGTTTTTAAGTTATAGCTAAAATGTCAAATTTTCGTGATTTCAAAAAATGCTCATATTTCAATTATTTTTCAAATTATAGGAATGGGGTTGATACGTTCTTGAGGCACTTTTTTAAGCGGAATATACTGCCGTTGAAAAGTTTTAAATATACTTGATGATTTTTGAGATACAACACAAACTTGTGTTTTTTTAAATACAAACTATACTTAATTATGATGTTAAAGAAAAGAGCATATTTTTAGCTTTCCAATGATGTATCGCATGTATGGTGTATTTGCAGAAAATAAGCGTTAATTTTCAATTCGAAAATAGTAAGCGCTAATGTTCAAAATTTTGATTATAGTAGGCGGGTCCGGACTGTAAATACTACCTAGTGGCTATAATATATGGTTTTGCGCGAATAAGACAGAATAAAGTTGGTTTTGTACCATTATTCAGGATAAGTTGGTTTTGTACCAACGAATAAAAACTTTGAATAGTTAATTTAAATTTCTCAGCATCTTATCCCTGACTTTGTTCAGCAATAAAAAATGATTAGCAAGTAAAGTTTGTTTATTACAAATATAAGAAATGTATTAATTAATGAATAATTAAATATGGACAACTTCAGGAA